CGCTCGTGCATCCACTCGTTATTTTCCTAACACCACTCTATATGAATTCCCCATCTTCCGTTTGAATTTGCTTGGACCTTCCAATCTTCATTTCGCTCCTTTATCCAAATGGGCAACCAAAAGACAGCAACCAAAACCGGCGCACGAAAGTGCATGGTTAATGGTTGTAAAAACTGAACTGAACTGAGGAAGACAGAGATGGTGGGTCTACGAAAAGAATGTCGACGCACCAGAATTTGGCGGAGGGTAAAGATGTGGTTGATACGACCTCGACCGGGTCTAAAACCAGTCTGGTTCTAACGCGAGCACCGTTCATTTGCGGCAGACAATCGACGGAGCATGATATCAGCGAGAAGTTTAGAGGCAATATTGATTAAACTAATTCCTCTTTGGTTTTCACAAGAGGATCTATCACCTTTCTTGTAAATCGGTATGATCACCGATTCACACCATACAGCTGGAACCTCTTCCCTTTCCCACACTGAGCCCAGGAGTTTGGTCAACTCCAAGACTAACGCTGAGCCTACATCCTCAAACGCGGATGGGAACAGCCCATCTGGGCCAGAGGAATCATGCTTTTGAGATACCTTTTTCCCGAGAAACGCTGTACAATGATGATGATAATGATGTCGATGGGGGCCAGTTTAACTGAGCCTTGAAGTGTTCAACCCATCGATCAAGACGGCGTTGCTAATCGGGCCCGTATTCCTAATTACTTGGAAAAGGTTACGACTATCACCAATATCCGCTGCTTTCTCCATCTATCTACACTTTCGCACCCACCACTTATCGCGGTAATTCCTCAGACTCTTGATGAGCCGGCGTTTGAGAGATTTGCGCGCTGTGTTGCATGTGGCATCCGGAGGAATGGTTCTGCGGGCGTTCGGCAGGGCAGCCGAGGTCGATGATATCCACCGTTTGTGTTTTGAGCTTGAGGCAGGGTCCGACGTTGTTTTTATCGATATCTACATAACTTTCTTGATTTGCTTCCAGTGTTGATTGAGTCATTGAGGCTGGCGGTTGAACTGACAGGCGAGAGAGAGAGAGAGCTCCGCTCCAAATGCCGATTTGCATAAATCGCTGATACTGTATCGTGGGTATCTGTTGTCGGTGGCTTTCTTGCGGTTGTTTGCCAGGCGTAAGGAGAACTTGGCTCGTAACAAGGCGTGGTCTGTATCCACAGCTGTTGACCAGTAAGAGCAGTAGTCTTGAACTGATCCCCTCCTGCAGTAACTGATGGCGATGTGGTCGATTTGGGTTCAGCGCTGTGAAGAGGTTGACGGTTTCCATGTAAGTCGATGGCGTTTCTTGTGCGAGAAGTTCGTGTTTGACAGGAACAATCCGTGGTCCGTGCAGAGTTGAAGTAGGCGATCTCCGTTGTCCTTCCGGTTGGCTGAGATTGCATGTGGTCCGCCAAGA